ACCACCTGACCTGCCTCCTGAGAAATCTGTATGCAGGTCAGGAAGCAACAGTTAGAATTGGACATGGAATAACAGACTGGTTCCAAATGGGGAAAAGAGTACATCAAGGCTGTATATTGTCACCCTGCTTATTTAACTTATATGCAGAGTACATCATGAGAAACGCTGGGCTGGAAGAAGCACAAGCTGGAATCAAGATTGCCGGGAGAAATATCAATAACCTCAGATATGCAGATGACACCACCCTTATGGCAGAAAGTGAAGAAGAACTAAAGAGCCTCTTGATGAAAGTGAAAGAGGAGAGTGAAAAAGTTGGCTTAAAGCTCAACATTCAGAAAACTAAGATCATGGCATCTGGTCCCATCACCTCATGGGAAATAGATGGGGAGACAGTGGAAACAGTGTCAGACTTTATTTTTTGGGGCTCCAAAATCACTGCAGATGGTGACTGCAGCCATGAAATAAAAAGACGCTTCCTCCTTGGAAGAAAAGTTATGACCCACCTAGACAGCATATTAAAAAGCAGAGACATTACTTTGTCAACAAAGGTCTGCATAGTCAAAGCTATGGTTTTTCCAGTAGTCACGTACAGATGTGAGAGTTGGACAATAAAGAAGGATGAGCACTGAAGAATTGATGCTTTCAGACTGTGGTGCTAGAGATGACTCTTGAGAATCCCTTGGATAGCAAGATCAAACCAGTAAATCCTAAAGGATATCAACCCTGAATATTCATTGGAAATACTGATACTGAAGTTGAATTTCCAATTCTTTATCTGATGTGAAGAGCCAACTCATTGGAAAAGACCCTGATGCTGGGAAAGATTGAGGGCAGGAGGAGAAGGGGTGAGATGGTTGGATGGCATCACCAACTCAATGGAGATGAGTTTGAGCAAGCTCCAGGAGTTGGTGATGGACAAGGAGGCCTGGCGTGCTGCGGTCCATGGGGTTGCAAAGACTCGGACACAACTGAACAACTAAACTGAACTGAGCGTCTCTAAGGCAGCAGTTCTGAGTGTTATGACAATAGGAAAATGATTACAAGTAATTTGTCACTAATATGGATTTTCTGATTGATGTTCTAGGTTTAGAATAGATTCAAGATTTTGTCTCCAATAATGTTACTGCTCACATTCACACTGCAACAGCTTTCTGAAGGGCGATTTAGCCAGTATGCCAGGAGTGAACCATGGGATATCACTACACATTTACTGTGTCTGTCTTGGCAAGGAAAACAACAACATGAAAACTTTTGGTGTTATATATAGTGTGCTGAAAAATTACTTAAAAGCTAAGGCTATATCCCCAATTTAATGAATTTGAGAAAACCCTTACAGCATCTAATAAATAGACAGCTACTGGAATTAGGCGCTCCAAGTTTTAAAATGTCTTTGCCACTGAATAGCTCATTTAGCGTCAATTTTCTCACTTGCAGGTACAGGATGGCTGCCAGCCTCGGTGCTGAGGTTAGAATAATGAAAGCTTTATAGGACCAACTGATGAGAAAGCCTTTGGATCTATCAGTAATTACAGTGCCAACGGGAATTTTGAGGAACTTGGAAATTCAGCTTCTTCATAAAACTGAGTAAGACTGTAAATGCTTCCTGAACAAGAAAAATGTCTGCCATTTAAGATCACCTATGTGCCAGACCCATCAGGCAATAGGCTTTTATTTAGCTTTCACAATTCTTTGTGGCAGAAATGAAGACCACTGCTTTATATACGAGAAGCCAGAGGTGGGAGAGGTTGACCCCCCCATGGTGATCTGATTCATAAGTACAACTGCCTCGCTGGCCTCCAGGCTCTTTGCCCACAACCACCGTGGCTCTGCGGCCTGGAGAGACCTCTACAGCTTCTACTCATGTTCCCACTTTCCCTAAAGGTGACTTTGAAAGCCTGAAGTGTGTACTTCTTGCACTGGTGACCATGTTATTCAGAATGCTAAGATGATGCTGATAAAGTGCTGCACTCAGTATGCCAGCAAATTTGGAAAACTCAGCAGTGGCCACAGGACTGGGAAAGGTCAGTTTTCATTCCAATTCCAGTGTTTACTGACAGCCAGTACTCATCTGCTTCTGGATACAGGGGTAATACTTCTGTCTATAAGGGAGAGATGAAGCTTTCTGAAGTGACCAATGCAAAGAAGTAGAGGAAAACAACAGAATGGGAATGACTAGAGATCTCTTCAAGAAAATGAGAGATACCAAGGGAACATTTCATGCAAAGATGGGCACAATAAAGGACAGAAATGGTATGGACCTAACAGAAGCAGAAGGTATCAAGAAGAGGTGGCAAAAATACACAGAACTATACAAAAAAGATCTTCATGACCCATAGAATTATGATGGTGTGATCACTCACCTAGANGGGCTCCAAAATCACTGCAGATGGTGACTGCAGCCATGAAATTAAAAGACGCTTGCTCCTTGGAAGAAAAGCTATGACAAACCTAGACACCATATCAAAAAGCAGAGACATCACTTTGCTGACAAAGGTCTGTCATCAAAGCTATGGTTTTTCCAGCAGTCATTTATGGATGGGAGAGTGGGACCATAAAGAAGGCTGAGTGCCGAAGAATTGCTGTTTTTCAACTATGGTCCTGGAGTCCCTTGGACAGCAAGGAGATCAAACCAGTCAATCCTAAAGGAAATCAGTCCTCAATATTCGTTGGAAGGGCTGAAGCTGAAGCTCCAATACTGTGACCACCTGATGTGAGAAGCCAACTCATTGGAAAAGACCCTGATGCTGGGAAAGGTTGAGGGCAGGAGAAGGAGTCAACAGAGGATGAGAATGGCTGGATAGCATCACTGATTCAATGGACATGAGTTTGAGCAAATTTTGGGAGATAGTGAAGGACAGGGAAGCCTGGCGTGCTGCAGTCCCTGGGGTCCCAGAGAGTCAGACACGACTGAGTGAGCGAGCGACAATACCTCTCTACCCTTTTGAAGTTAGGCAACTATGTGACTCATTCTGGCTAATGAAATATGAGTAAAAGAAATCTGTGTCACTTCCAAGGTGAAGCATATCATTGCAAGTGTTCCAGCCTCCAGGCCTCTCTCCCCTTTCCATAGCAATCATGGAAACCTGTTTGCTGCAGTGGTGCCTCAGGATGAAAGAAACTTGAGGTATGAAGCCAGCCTGTGGAGGACAGGTTCCCTAGAGAGTTGCATAAACCCAGTGAATTTTAGGAAAGAAACCTCTAAGCCACACAGTTGGGAGATTATTCTTTTACTGTAGTATAACCCAGCCTATCCTGACTGACATAGCTGGTGAAGAGAAATCACAGAACAGACCTAAGACAGGCTCTGATATCCTTCACTATTATGTTAAATTTTGCTAAAACACGGAAGAATAAAAACTTAAGGGTTGGACAAAGGGGAAGAGAAACTTGGTGTTAACCTTAAATAGGTTTTAGAATCACCTGGAAAAACCAAACCACCACTCTTCCAACCTTCAGGGAGCTCAGCACATTGATTAATCCCATTATATGACACAGCTTCCGAGGAAATCAGAACATTTTGATATTTTCAATGAATTAGTGTGGGAGCTCTGATCAGCTTGGTTAAGTAAAGAGTCAGTTTTTTGGGGGGTGGATTACAGTCCTATGTCAGAGAAAGCAATGGCAGCCCACTCCAGTACTCTTGCCTGGAAAATCCCATGGATGGAGGAGCCTGGTAGGCTGCAGTCCACAGGGTCACTAAGAGTCAGACACGACTGAGCAACTTCACTTTCACTTTTCACTTTCATGCATTGGAGAAGGAAATGACAACCCACTCCAGTGTTCTTGCCTGGAGAATCCCAGGGACGGGGGAGCCTTGGTGGGCTGCCGTCTATGGGGTCGCACAGAGTCAGACCGGACTGAAGCGACTTAGCAGCAGCAGCAGCCTAGTCCTATGTCTATTTACTAAAACTGAACTAAGCAGGACTAGGCTTAATTTAGAGAGTAGCTGCTGTTATGTTTCAATTTTTGATTAGGCCTGTTGATACACACATAAATCTGAGAAATGTCTGAACATACCATTAATCTATTTAATATTCATTTGCATTAGGAAGGCTAAGATTTTCGTTTTCTAAGTTATAAGTCCCATTATTTAGGTAAAGGTCAGACAAGCATCTTTCTCCTAAACCTTCACTGTATCACATCCATACAGTCAGGAATCTGTAATAAAGTCAATTGATTTAAGAATAAAAAGTGAACATGTAACTTTCTGAGAAATACAATCCCTGAAGTACTCACTAAAAATGGTCAATTATTATGACAATGATTAACAACAGGGGCACAATTCAAAAGCAAAAATGTTCTGTTAATGTGCAGTAAACTGAGCAACAGGGATTACCCCAGAGTGTCTTAGGGCCAGGGCATGCCCTGCAACTAAGACTCAGCCCAGTAAGAACAACTTAGAACATGCTTCTTGATTTAATGTGCTAACAGGTCAGGTTCTCAGCAGCAGTTCTAAAACTATTTCGATCAGGCTTTATTTTTAGTAAGTGAACCACCTATGACTGTCAGGCCTCTTCCTAAAAGCTTTATATTTTACAGAATTAAATAATAAAAAATTTATGACATTTCGACTCCATTTGTTTGACTTAATATGACTAGAATGCTAGATTTCTAATTTAAAAAGATATGCAGCAAGCAACAAAGATTTATTGTATAGTACAGGGAACTATAGTATCTTGTAATAACTTAGAAAATCTGAAATATAATATGTATATATGTATAACTGAATCTCCTTGCTGTACACCTGAAACACTGTTAAGTCAACTATACTCCAATAAAATAGATGTAAAGAAATACTTTATAATAGTTATCAACCAAGTCACAATCATTTTCATACTTTACCTAATGATCCTACTTCACTGGCACACATAACATGAGCATACACACACACACAACACATAGGACCTGCCTGCACTCCCATTTTATGATGCTTTTTTTTTTTTTAAAAGCCTGTCTGATAGTCACAGGGGAATGAAGATACTGACAGCTCAGTAACAGAGCCTCTGTGTGTAAGCTTTATTTTCACACTGTGTAGGAAGTTACTCATAAATGAACATAGGTATAAGGCACCCAGAACCAAAGAATGAACATGTACTTAATGAAAAGAATCAGAATTTCTGTAACACAACAAGCACCTGCATCCCACATATTTTTGAACAATTGGCAACTCTACACGTACACACACACATAAAGCAAGGACTAATAAATCATTGGTACAAAAACACCTTACTTGATGCACAGTCACTTATGAACTGTTAAAAAGTATAACCTAGAATCTGGATGCTAAATAAAAGGGGTGGGGGCTAAATAGGGGGGTCGGGTCACTCTACCCCTGACTCCAAATTTTAGGAATTCAAGTTTATTCAAAAACTAGAAATACACAAGACCATAACCACTACCTTTCGTCAGTAACTTCGGAATGGTAGTTAGTTTTAAACAACTTTAAAACTTAAGCTCCTTTTGAATATCCCAAAGTGTTTTTGCACTCTTCTGCAGACGAGCCTCTTCTTCGGGGGCCAACTTTACTTTTATAAGGTCAGTAATACCACTCTCCCCCAGAATACAAGGAACACTGAGGAATACTTCTTCATTTATTCCATAGAGACCCTTAATTCTGGTGGAAACTGGATGCACTCTCCTAAGATTCTTCAAAATACTTTCTGTTAGGTCAGCTACAGATAGGCCAATGGCCCAAGAAGTATAACCTTTCATTTTAATAATCTCATAGGCACTAGCAACCACATCTCTGTGAACATTTTTCCACTGCTCAGGATCTTTAGCAGTTCCTATATCTAAGTTCAGTTCCTTCAGAGGGACACCGGCGGCGATGTTTACTCCACTCCACACAGGAACACTTGAGTCTCCGTGCTCTCCAAGGATCCACCCATGACAGCTTTCAGAATGGATACCAAGCCTTTGCCCAATCAAGAAACGGAAACGGGCAGTGTCCAGATTACAACCACTTCCAATAACACGGTTTTGGGGAAAGGCACTCAACTTCCACGCTACATACGTCAAGATATCCACTGGATTGGAAACCACAATCAGTTTGCAGCACGGACTGTACTGAATGATATTGGACATCATTAACTTAAAGATGGCCACGTTTCGCTGGACTAAATTAAGGCGTGTTTCTCCTTTTTCCTGGCGTGCACCTGCCGTGATAATCACGAGGTTGGAGTTCGCAGTGACAAGGTAATCTCTGCTGGAAACAATGTTTGGCATTTTCACTTTCAATTTGCCTTCATCAACATACACAGAGGCAAGTTCATCATCCACATCTTCTAAAACATGGTGATAGCAGAGGCCATGCCAACCAATCTGCTTCCTATATCCTATTGTGAAGAATGATCTTCTTGGAAGCGAAATTCATCATAAGTTCACGGGTGACAGGGGTGAAGAGCAGCGAGATGCGGTGACAGGGGTGAAGAGCAGCGAGATGCCTGCCTCCTGCAGGGGACACTAAGCCATCCTCAGGTGAAGAAAAGCCCCACGGTGCCCATTGTAAGCTGGCCCTTAGAACTCCTGAACCCACCTCATGTCTGCTTACACAAGACGTGGAGGAGGAGACTGGAGAAAGCTCTGAAAGCCCAGCATCTCCCTCCCCTGCGACTGTGCAAGGCCACGCCTGCCACCCAGGGACCGCCCCAGGCCTTCACCCGGCCTTCAGAAAGGACTTCTCCCATCGGCTCAGACTAAGAGAGTCGAGAGGCTTCTTCTACAGCAAGTGAATCATAGAGCGAGCCTTTTACAAACCCATGGTGGCTTCCATATTTGATATACATAATAAACCAACTGAGGTCCCTAGAATGATTAGTTTTCAATGTGAATGCCAAGTCATATCCACATTTTCTGACTTCAAAGCAAATAAGCTTAAGCATTACTATAGCTAACCCCATCTCCCTTGTTCTCATACTCACTTCAGGACATCCTAATTTCTCCTTAACTTTCTAATATATCTTGTACATTAGTCCTAATCTTTTGTTTCTTGATTTGAAAAATGCAGCAACTGGAATGGTCCATATAGCCCTAGGAAGGGCCTAACCAGTGTGAAGGTCAGAAGCTTGTCCCCTTTCTAGGCCCCAGCAGCATATTTCTGTAAATAGGTTCTAGGTACATATTCTGACATCATCATCAGATGGTACCTTGTGGTCACCTAGAACCATAAGATCTTCTGCTAAGAAGCTACTGCCTTATGTCTCCATTCTAAATTGGTGCAATTAATTTTGGGAACTGTATTCTCCCAGATTGTCTGCCTTAGCAAGGAATTTTGTATGTGTGGTAAATATAAGCAGTCAACAAGTATTTACATGGTTTGTGCCAGTAATTTTGTTCCTTATGGCTACTTACTACATTAATACCTCTTGAACCTCAGTTGTTTTCTTTTCTTTCATTGGAAAATGGGAAAAGAATGTATTCCCTGCTAATGTTGTGGGAAATCCCATGGACAGAGGAGCCTGAAAGGCTACAGCCCACGGGGTTGCGAAGAGTCACATATGACTTAGCGACTAAACAACAACAATATTGTGGGAGGTTCAAATGAGATAATGCATAAAATGTAAAGTGATGTTATGATCACAGATAATCTAGGTTTTAAGACCACACGGGAAAGGTAATTATAACTGCTCAACCCATAATCACAGAAACTATAGCCTACAGTTCCTTTCACTATCCCAAACATAAGATCATCTGTCCAGATTTTACCAAGAAGAACATTTTTACTATTCTTCTTTCCGTTAAAAGATGTCTCAAGTTGGCTTTCATTGCCCTATAGTGGTTTTTGTGTGAACCCAGGGGTCATGTTATATGAACCCGGGTCTTCCGCATTGCTGGCAGATTCTTTAACCATCTGAGCCAACAGGGAAGCCCCTGTTATATGAAAGACATAATTATTACTCTTTTATTTTGAAGATGTTAGTCTTAAAACATTCTTCAAACCCTGTTAGGTTACACACATTCCCGTCAGCCGTAATGCTTAAAGAGTCAATCTGTAAGGACAGTTTCCAACATCATCCAGGGCAACGTGGATATACAGTGTCACGGAGTATTTTACTAGGTCTTCACTCAGAGCCTACTGACTTAATTGATTTTATTCATTCGCTCATGAAATATTTATAGGATATCTATTATGTGTCAGGAAAGCAAGACAGACATTGTCCTGGCTTACAATCTAGTGAGAAAAATGGAGCCTTAAATGTATTGTTAACAAATTAGAGTGCTATGTGTTGTGACGGGGGAAGTGCTGGGTCTGTGAGTCTATTCAGGTGGGTACCTAACCTGGGGGCATCTCTGTATGTGTTGAGAGTGATTTTGAAAGAGGGTGTTCAGAGAGTGTAACAAGTGGATGCGATCTAAAGAATGAATGTGTGTGTTTGATCGCTCAGTTGCGTCTGACTCTCTGTGACCCTGTGGACTGTAGCCTTACCAGGCTCATCTGTCCGTGGAACTTTCCCAGACAATACTGGAGTGGGCAGCATTCCCTTCTCCAGAGGGATCTTCCTGACTCGGGGAAAGGATGAATAGAAACGACCCTATTTAGGAGAAGCGGGTGAGGAGTGGAGAATAGATGATGCGAAGAAGGGGGTTTTAAGAGATGAGGCTGCACAAGCTAAAAAAAAAAAAGAAAGCTATATGGAAGAATTTTGACTTTATTCTGATAAGTAAATTATAATCAAACAGACTGAAAAAACACGAATGCATGCCTTCAATTTTTAGTTTTTAAAAACTTTTATTAAAGGGAAATCTTTAGTAATTAGTCCTAAATGAAATGTTTGGAACCTTCAGTGCTTCTTCTTAGTATCCCAAAGTTCTCTAAAACACACACGCCTAGACTGTTGGAGCTGGAAGGGTCTTCAGACACCACGAGCGTCCGCCCTTTCACCTTGCAGGACTGTGAGGGGGCATGCTGTGCTCAGCTGTGTCCTTCTGCAGCCCGTGGACTGCAGCCCACCAGGCGCCTCTGTCCAGGGGATCTCCCAGACAAGAATACTGGAGTGGGTTGCCATTTCCTCCTCCAGGGAATCTTCTCAGTCCAGGGACTGAACCCGTGTCCACCTGCATCTCCTTCAGGGAAGGAGATGGGAACTGTTTGCTTCTCCCTTTATGGGTCCAAGGCTCAAATGCCTCAGCCTTGATCAGAGAGAGGCCTGATGGGTCTCCTGAATCTCCTATCTTATTGACTCCAGTTAGTTAGAATTCATGAGCATCCCTAGTTTTTACTTCTGCATTGGACTTCATGTTCTTCCCTTGAGGCCTAATGAAAAGATGGTTTATCTTGGACTTCTGGGGAGAGTCTGGGAGGTCAGCTCATTTCTGAGGAGAGCATGAGTCCTCCCCTGATTACATCCTCACAAGAGGGTCAGGGTTAGCCTCTTCTCTGAACGCCTGTGTCTCTCTGTACTTTTCTTCTGCATCACTCTGGGTGGACCTACTCATTTCTTCTAGACTGCATGTATCTTGAGGACATGACAAATGACTTCGTCATCACTACATCCTGCATAGCAAGGGAATGCAGAACCTGAAGACCTCGGGGAAGGATGGATAAATGAACAGACTGGGATATCTCATTTCCTAACAGAAGTTTTAAGTAGATATTGGTGTAAGGGAATGAAAAACCTATTATCTTAATAGATTGCAATCAGAATTTTTCTCAGGGGAAAAAAATGAGATTAGAAAATACAATGAAGTGAACGGAGAGTCTCTTACAATCGAGCAAAAATGACAGCTGCGTTTTTAGTGAGAAATGACCATGAATTGGAAGGTAATCAGAGATGAAAGAAGTCAGGAGCGGAGGAAAATGAGAAATCTGTGCAGCGTGGGAGAGTTCCTAAAGGACTTAACACCAGAGATAGCTGATGCCCGTTTTAAAATGCTTCAGGTCTGATGTGAACTCACTGCCATCTTTTTGAACTGAGGTGTACTGTCTACTATACAAAGGAGATGCTGATAAACACTCGATGTCATTTATGCTTAATACAGAAAGTGTGCTCTTCTGTGAGGCTTGCAATTCTGGGACAACTAACTCATATCCATATGTATTGAACGTGGAAGCAGATTCTAAAAAATGAAAGTAAAATGTAGTTTCCAGCCTCCTGAATTCTATCACAAGTCTCTGAGTAGAATAATAAAAATACATGAAAAAAATGGTCATAGTTTAGGGCAGCTTCTGTTGCCCTAAACTATGCCTATTAGCGATATAGGAGATAAATATTTTGTAGCTTGAATCATGGCATCATTCAACAAGGTCGATTAGGAATGTTTTCCTTCAGGGTAGATTTTGAACAGAGAGAAATAACAAGCAATTAAATTATATGGAAGATTAACTATTGGCCCTTCACTGACCCTTCTTTTCCTTTCCTTCAAGCAAGAGAATCATCGATTAGTCTATGTTCAGGGAGGAGCAACATTTTTCATTTTCAGCTGTTCTCAAGCAGTCTTGTTTGGTGGTTAGTGTTCCTGGCACTTTGTGTCTTTAAAAAATGGGACTCTCATAAGAAAAAAAAAGAGAGGAAAAAAACAGCAATGAAGTCACACATTTTGCTTTAACATATTAATTCACTTTTATTCTATGAATTATATGTATATGTTATATACATGCCATGTGCTGTGCTAAGTCGCTTCCGTTGTGTCTGACTCTGAGACCCCCGTGGACTGCAGTCCCCAGGGCTCCTCTGTCCATGGGATTCTCCAGGCAAGACCACCAGAGTGGGTTGCCATTTCCTCCTCCAGGGGATATATGTATATATGTATATATACACATACAGGCCATTGTGTAGCATGTGGGATCTTAGTTCCCTGACCAGGGGTTGAACCTGTGCACCCTGAAATGAAAGGGCAGAACCTTAACCACTGGACTACCAGGGAAGTCCTCTGAATCATATTTTAAAACTCTAGCATTAGGATAACAATTAGTTTTAATAGGTACAACAGTACAAAAACTCAACATGCCAGATACCACTGGTGATTGCAAGTGTATGCAATATCTATCTCTTACTGCCATCTTGTGGATTCTTGGAGAATAACCACAGTGGTAATGTTTTCATTGTATCTGGGAACGCTCGGTTTGGATGCCACAGTGTATGAAAATAACTGGGAGAATGAATAAGATGACAGCAGCTAAATTACCAGGTTTCATTTAATGTTATGACTTTGGAGGTACCATTTAACTTCTCTGTGGCTTGGTTTCTTTGTGAAAAGTGGGTATTACAGATAATGGTGTGTTTCTTGTCTGTCTCAAGGTTGCTTTGAAAATTAAAACATAAATTGCTCTGTAAATCAGAAAATACTATTCAGAAACAATGACTTATTATCCTTGTCCTCATATAGTACTATTAGATTAAGGATGTGTGTTAAATTGCTTCAGTCATGTCCTAGTCCTTGCAACCTAATGGACTGTAGCCTGCCAGTCTCCTCTGTCCATGGGATTCTCCAGGCAAGAAGACTGGAGTGGGTTGCCATTTCCTCTCCCAGAGCATCTTCCCTACTCAGGGATCGAACCCAGGTCTCTTACGTCTCCTGCATTGGCAGGCAGGTTACCTAAACATTTTGTGTGTAACACAGTAAACATGATTCAGACTGAAGAATCAGGCTTCTGATTCAGATTCTGAAGGTGCTATTTGTTGTACCCTGGAGTACTAGGTTTGTAGGCCACAGCATGTGAAAATACAGTAACTGGGAAAAGAATTACAAGAAAAGAGTAGGTCAATGTCCAGGTTTCCATTTAATTGTGTCACTTTGGATGCACTATTTAACTTCTCTGGTTTTCAGAGTGATTTGCCTTGTAAGTCTCTGAGGACAACAGAGTCGATGTTCCCAATGACAAGCATCCTTAGAGGTTATTTCTCCAGGAGCAGATACTTATGTGGGCTTGGGGGCTGGAAAAGTGGGTATTTTCTGATTTACTAGTTTGCTGATGTGCAAGTGGGTCTTGACAGCAAGTATGCAGTCTAGAAAGAGCTTCTTCTGGGAAAGAAAATGCTACCCTTGGGATACCATGTACCCATCCGCACCTCAGTCATTTCTCTTGTAAGCTTTGCGTCTTGGTTTTCTCTCTCTCAGACTGCATTGCAACTAGAAAACTGAGGTGATATGTTGGATCATATGGGCAGAGGAAACTTAAAAAAATTATCTGAGCATTTCAGTGAAAAATTGGAAATAAACAGTTAAAGGCTTTCCCTTTCCTTTAGGGGAGATTTGTTCAAGTTATTTCATTTGCTAAGGTATTCATCACTCACAAACACCTCTGAGTGTGAAGCCCTGGATTAGACCCTACACATCTATCCTCAAGAAAACTCAGAATCTGTTGGGAAAAATATTCATGAAAACAAATCAAGACCAAAAGGAGAACACAGGATGTCACTGAAGAATTGTGGGGAGACAGGTTTGGAAGGAGGTGGGAGGCCTGCCCTTCTTGTATTTGAGTCCTACTTAAAGGCTTTCTGTCAACCCTTTCCTTCACCTTCCTCCATACTTAAAATTCTCTCTCCTCTGAACTCTCGAAGCTCTTAACTAGATTAACTAGTTCACCTGGTGATCATCTCAGGCACACTGTCTGGTTAGTTTTCACCAAGTCAGTCTCTATCCTCACTTCTCTACCTGCAGTTTGATCTTAATAATTAAAATGTCTTTCTAAAATTGTCATTTACAAATGATAATCACATGGTTTCAAACATAAACTTTTATTCCTTCCTTTCTGATATTAAAAAATATTTTAACTAAAAACATGTTCTCAGCATCTACTATATGTTCGGAATTCTGGTTTCAGAAATTGTCTGCCTTCAGTTTTTAGACATAATTTCAGAGCATGAGTCCACACCCCTCCCACCCCGATTTGCTTTAAAGTAGGAATTTCCATGGGGGCAATATGTGAGAGGACTTTCTACAGGTTGAACAATTTTATATCCCGGAGCTGCAGTAGCATTGGTCTGGCTTTATTCCTTTTTCTGGCCCAAGAGTTTCTTCATTTCCACTATATACTGTCCAGGTTCCTTATGTCCCTTAAGATGGTGTTATTTAAGGATTTGCCTCCATCCTCCTTGCTCTGACCGCCATTCGACCTGAGGACCTGGAGAGCAGGGACCCCTCTATTTAACGCTGTGTTCCTAAAGCTGGGCATATCATGGTCTTCACGTGGGTCCTATTTCTGCCCGGCATGTGCTTCTCCTGCCCTTTCCATCACCCTCACGAGTCACACGCAGACCTGCACACCAACAATGGAGTTCACGCCTCATGATCCACGATTTCTTCTGCTTCAAATCCTGCAGTTGCTCAGAACCTGGGCGGAAGTTAGGAAGCAAGGGCCAAAGCCTCCTTGGGGAATTTTGGGGTGGTCGAGAGAGGGGGCCCATGATGGGCGGAGTGCTGCTGACGGGGTGCTCACAGACTCCTCTAGGATGTCAGTCACTTAGCGCGATCATCGTGGTCAGGTGGGAGTGGTGGTGATGATAAAGAAGACAAGGTGATATCAAGGAACTTAACACAATTGATTTAAGTAACAACATAGCAGGATGAGAAGATGGAAACAAACAGTGTGATTGCTCCTTTCCGTCACACTGGCCACGCATATAACCACGTTCATGCCCTGTCTCTTCGCTGGGTTACTGCTCCATGCAGGTGGGATCAGCTCCTTATGTACCTTTCTCTTCCTTACATCACCCAGCGGAGCGCTTGACGGTCATACTGTCATTAACTGAAAGTGAAAGTGAAGTTGCTCAGTCGTGTCCGACTCTTTGTGACCCCATGGACTGTAGCCTACCAGGCTCCTCAGTCCATGAAGTGCCAGGCCCTGTTCCTCCTCTGGGAATATAGCAATAAATAAAATGGACCAATAGGAGATACTGAATGAATCACAGAATTAAAACATAAGAATTTCAGTCAAGTAAATGAAGCGTTTTCTACCTCTTCTCTTCCTTCCCTCTTTCTCTAAATATATGTAAATATATATATGTATATGTGTGTGTGTGTGTATATATATATTTAGGTGAACTGATAAATAAAACACCAGTTTTCTCCCCTCTATTAGATCATTTCTATCAACTGTTATAATGACCCTCCAATTAAGAAAAATTTATTGAATGATTTTTTTGGCATGTACAAATAGCTATTGTTATAAATACTATTATAATTGGCCTCCAATTAAGAAAAATTTATTCAATGATTTTTTTGGTATGTATTGAGATGATTGTAAGATTTTTAGAATTTATTTCCTTTATTAACACAGTCAATTATGATAATTGGTGAAAAATATTTTCTTGAAGTATAATTGATTTACAGGGTTGGGTTAGTTTCTGGTGTATAGCAATGTGATTCAGAATATATATATTCTTTTACACATTCTTTTCCATTCTGGTTTATTACAGGATATAGAATATAGTTCCCTGTGCTATACAGTAGGACCTTGTTGTTTATCTATTTTATATATAATAGTTTGTATCTGCTAGATAATTGATTTTTAAATATTAAACTGAACCTCTCACTCCTAGGAAGAAAAATCACAACTTGGTTGTGACCATAATAATCTATATACATATAGATTTGGTTTGCTCATATTTTGGTAAAGATTTTTGCATCTGTATCATTTAATTCCTATAAGAACTCTACAAGGAAGATAATTATTGTGATCTCCACTTTATAAGTAAACAACTGAGCCTTTTATTGTTCGGTTGCTCAGTCATGTTGCACTCTTTCCACCTCAAGGACTACAGCATGCCAGGCTTCCCTGTCCTTCACTATCCCAGAGTTTGCTCAAACTCATGTCCATTGAGTTGAGGATGCCATCCAACCAACTCATCTTCTGTCATCCCCTTCTCCTCTTGCTCTCAATTTTTCCCAGCATCAGGGTTTTTTCTAATGAGTCAGTTCTTCACATCAGGTGGTCAAAGTATTAGAGCTTTAGCTTCAGCATCAGTCCTTACAATGAATATTCAGGGTTGATTTCCTTTAGGATTGATTGGTTTGATCTCCTTGCTGTCCAAGGGACTCTCAGGGGTCTTCTTGAGCATCACGATTCAAAAGCATCAATTCTTTGGCACTCAACNTGAAGCAGAAGTAGATTTCTTTTTTGGAAATTTTTCTGTAATCCAATGGATGTTGACAATTTGATCTCTGGTTTCCCTGCCTTTTCTAAAACCAGCTCATACATATGGATGTTCTTGGTTCATGAACTGTTGAAACCCAGCTTGAAGGATTTTGAACATTGTCTTGCTAACATTGAGTGCAATTGTGTGGTAGTTTGAATATTCTTTGGCATTGCCCTTCTTTGGGATTGGAATGAAAACTGACCTTTTCCAGTCCTGTGGCCACTGCTGTTTTCTGGCAAATTTGCTGGCATATTGAGTGCAGTACTTTAACAGCATCATCTTTTAGCATTATAAACAGGTAGAATTCCATCACCTTCACTAGCTTTGTTCATAGTAATGCTTCCTAAGACCCACTTGACTTCACACTCGAGGATATCTGGCTCTAGGTGAGTGATCACACCCTTGTGGTTATCCGGGTCATTAAGACCTTTTTTATAGAGCTCTTCTGTGTATTCTTCCCATCTGTTCTTAACCTCTTCTGCTTTTGTTAGGTCCTTACTGTTTCTGTCCTTAATTGTGCCCACCTTTACATGAAATGTTCCCTTGGTATCTCTAATTTTCTTAAAGAGATCTCTAATCTTTCCCATTGTATTGTTTTCTTCTATTTCTTTGCATTGTTCACTTAAGGTGGCTTTCTTATCACTCCTTAGTATTCTTTAGAACTCTGCATTCAGTCAGGTATATCTTTCCCTTTCTGCTTTGCCTTTCACTTCATGATTAATTAATCATGAGATTGTGGCCTACAATTTTCTTGCAATGTTTTGGTATCAGGGTTATGTTGGCCTCAAAATGTAGTAAAAGTATGATTTTAAAATTTAAAAAAAAATTGCTGTTATAAAACCAAACAAACTCTACCCTCTAGTGACCATCCTATTTTATTCCCCCTTTTAGCACAATTCAAAGGAGATACCTGTACTCATTGTCATTAATTTCTCTCCTTTCATTATGAAATTCGCTTCAGTTTCTCACCCTATTACACTACAGAAACTGCTTTTTCATTTGATCCATAAGTTATTAAATTCAGCAGCCCCATCTTAACATGACTCACTAGCAACATTTGACAGTGATCCCAGCCTCTGGAAATATTTAGCTCCTGGGGTCCTACTGGATTTCCTCCTACCTTACTGGTTTTTCCTTTTTGTTCCCTTTGCTGCTTCCTCCTTTTCTCCCCAAGGAGGACCTGGCCACACCAGGACTCAGTCTGTCTACCTCTGTTACCTGCTCCACCTGTCAGAGCATCTCTGTCTCAACTAACAGTATTTCTTCTTGTGTGCTTTTTCAGGTAGAAAACCTTGAAGTCATCCTTCACATCTTCCTTTCCCTTTTAGGAAGACAAAGGAAGCTTTCTCCACACCCAAGCTTTTAGGAAATCTGTTAACTGTCCCTTCTAAACACATCCAGAATCATTCCTCACCTCCTCCACTTGGACCACAGCTGCCCCACCTCCATCATTCAGGCCGAGTCCCAGCTGGCCTCCTGCTTCCATCTTTGTCCCTTGACAGTCTGCTGTCAACGTGGCGGCCGGTGATCGTCTCACAGTGTGAGTGAGATAACGTCCTGTCCCTCTGCTGACAACCCCCACGGCGCTTCCTTCCCTCAGAGGAAAGCAAAGCCTTACGGGGGCCGATGAGGCTGTGCTGTCTGTGACTCACCCGTTACCTCTCTGTCCCAATCTCCCACTTTCCTTCTCTTCCTCCTGGTCCCACCAGAGTGAATTCCTCAAATACAAAAGGCAGAGCTCCTCCCGCGTCCCAGAGGTCGGCCTGGCCCACTCTCCTTTCCTTCATTCTTTGCTAAAATGTCACTTCCTCGGTGTGGTCCACTCTGACTACCTTATTTAAAACATTTAACTCCTCTCCCAGCACCTCAAATTCACCTTACATTGCTCTATTGGTTTTCATTGCACTATCATGTCCTGACAGATTATATAATTTCATTATCCGCTACTTAAAAAAAAAAGGTTTTCCCACTGGAATATAAGAAGCACTGTGAGGCAGCGATTTTCTTTCTTTTCTTTCTTCCCTTCCTACCTCTCCCCTCCTTCTTTCCTCTCTCTCTCTCTCCTCTCTCTACCTTCCTTCCTTCCTTTCTTTTATATGTCTAACACTTACAATAGTGCCTTACATATAATGGCTGGTGAAGAAACTGCTATTGCATGAATGCATAAATGAATGATTTGTACTCATTAGGCACTGCGTCAATGGCTTAAATACTTTATTGACGTTCACAATAAGGCTGAGAGGTATTATCATCCCCATTTGACAGATAAGGAAATTAGTGTCCTAAGTGATAAACTTGATAAAGCTCACAAAGTTTTAGAGCCTTTCCACCTAGACAACTGGGCTTCCCAGGTGGTGCTAGTGGTAAAGAACCTGCCTGTCAATGCAGGTAGATGCTGGAGACAAGGCTTTGATCCCTGGGTGGAGAAGATCCCCTGGAGGAGGGCACGGCAGCCCACTCGGGTATTCTTGCCTGGAGAATCCTGGACAGGGAAGCCTGGCTGGTGGGCTATGGTCCATAGGGTCACAAAGAGTTGGACATGACTGAAGGGACTTCGCACACTCGCACCTAGAAAACTGTGCTGAGGAGATGATATTGGGTAGAGACAATCAGCCTAGGGAGGATGTGGCCTGGGCATAGCAGCAGAAGCCCTCAGCATAACCACGCCGGGCTTGCTTGTAATTGGAAATACATAGTTCTTCTCTTCAAATGACTAATTCTGTCTTCAAAATACAACCCAGTATTAACTTTCCTGGAAATCTTTCCTGGATTCTCCCAAGAGATTAATTCAGCAGGCCCCTTGTGGTCAACGCTGGAGAAATGACTTTGACTTTAGTGTAAGAAGGAAGAAGAGGTAAAAGAGATTTATTGTGTACTTTCTAGATGGTGGGTACTTCAAACTAGTCCAATTTCCATTATCCTATGGGATAAAATTCTGAAACTCTGAGACTCAGAAAGTTTAAATAACTTGATCAAAATCACAAGGTGAGTAAAAGGTGAAGCTAGGACTGGATACTAGGTCTGCCTGATTTCTAAG